AATGTTTTGCAATGGACTCCATTAAGGTTCAATGAGTCATTCCAGCTGTTAGAAAGCTTCATAAGAAATTTGCATGTAAACGCAACAGAAGAAAACAGAGTGTTAGGTGATTTACACAATTGGAAAACAAATGGTAAGTTGATTATCACAAAGAATAGTGTTGATGATAATTATAAATAACTGAGATTATGCTTGCAGAATTTATATATTTGAAGAAGATAAACTCAGGATTGACTAAGAACAGCTTTTTCTTGTTAATTTAAGCTATCAAACGATCTTGCAAATGTTTTGAATCTATACATTTTTGTAATCTTCTTTTTTTAATTGACAAAATGAATTTACGAGAAGGTGTTAATATGACAACAATGATCATATGTATAAAATATATATTTTTTTTTTATTCTTTTTTATTTATTTTTAAACTTTTTAAACAACATTCCTTTCAGATTTTTATTTTTTTTGCTCAAAATGTATATGCTTTTAAATGCATAAAAATGTTTAAATTTTTTTGATGATAATTTTATGAATTTAACTGTGAAACTATATTGATATGTACATAGCATGTGTTAAGTGTCTCATAAGTCAAATTTATGACTGGGTATTGATTGTTTTGTTGAATACTGTGATATGTAAATATTTGTCAATCAATATGTGACACTATAATAAAATAAATATCTATAAGAATTGAAGAAGCAGCCCAAAAACCTAGCGTATTTTACTCAATGTTTGCACTTCTCATAACCATAAAATACTTTATAATCATAACTCATTAACACCATCATTTTGATTTGTTTGGAATAAAACAACTTTCTTCTGTTTTAGGTACGAAATTCATTAATATATCTGTGCTTGGGGCGGAATTAGTTAGTATGATTCAAAACGCTGAATGCATCCAACATGAGTCCAAAGAAACAACTTTAAAATGTCTTCAGTTACAGAAAGAACTTAATAAGATAGAGAAAAAGATTGATGAACTAATGACTAATAACGGGAAATATTTAATGAAAAGTACCTCTGTATGTATATTTCGGTTTTATTTATATATATTTATTTTGTATTTTACTTATTAATTTCATAAATGCCAAAACAAACAAAAACGACACAAAACCAAACATCTAGAGAACATAACCAAGCTATAAAATAATGACCCCAATAGAATCGTGTCAAGATTAGATAAAACAACATTAATTCAGATATAAATGTTGTTGTTTTGTAGTTGTTTGTGAGTGAGGTTCTCTAATGTTTGCAAAATTTCCTGTTGGTAGTTTGAGTTTGCTGTTGTGCCGTATGGTGCACACATGACCACGATATTTCAATCTACAGTTTGTATTCTTTAATAGAAAGGTTTTTGTAAGGGCATAATTCCATGACAATATTTGCCATAACCTGATTATTAAACACGTTGATACTAGTGTATACTAGTTAATATGAAAAAAAAATATTTACCGGTAATAGGCATCTTAACCATTGTTTAATAAGTGAAATCAATGAAAAACGATAGTTCATAAAAAAAATATAAAATTCGTCCGTATTCTTTTTTTCCATTGCAATTACTGATATATTGTTTAATTTTGGGTTGGGTTTTTTTTTCAGAACGAATCGGATTGCAGCAGTACAGGTATGAATGGATAGTTTTCGTCTACTGAACATAAAAAGTCAAATAAAAGCATTTTTTCGGTTCTTGACGGTTCTCGCATCAAAATATCGAGAATATTACAGATCAGAATAAACACTACTGTGGGGGATTCGTTTATCTTTTATTTTGAAAGTAGGTAAACATCGCGATTTTTGCATGAACATCAACTCCATCTCACTGTACACGTTTTCTTAATGTGAAATTGAATATTGACAATCATTGAAAACTATTAAGTTAACAAAATGAACCCTAATTTGTGAATTTTTATACACATTCCAGATGCAACTGGTCTAAAGAACTTAACTGCCCATGCACCATGTTCTTGTCATGGTAAGTTTCCATACTGTGTTGATTTCATTAAAATGTAGAAACATGTACTACATCTATATTTGATTATCTTACATATATTTTCATCTATTTATATCTAGCTGAACTGAACATACTTAAACTTCATGGGTCTTTTTCGAAGAAACTCTTCGTGTGAAGCATTTTACAAATTGTTCTAAAATCAAATGGTTAATTAAAACTGTGTTAATTTAGTTTTGTCAAAAAGAATAATGTATGAGGATGAGGCAGCGGGAGAGATGAGTATCATTTAAGAAAACAAAAGTTATGAATTATTTTAAAATAAATTTACACAAAGGAAGAGGTATCAGAAGTTTTATTTTATATACTCCTTTTTTTAAGACAATTCAATAAGCGACAGTATTGAAACTGACAGGAGTGTATTGGAAGTAGAATTGAGCGTTATGAATTTAGAGCGATATCACTGTGAAATGTTTTGAACATAGATTCATAACTCTGAAGAGGATATAACAACGGGGAGTGTTATGAAACACATACGCCGGCTGCTTTATTAATCCATTATACGTTCTAAATCAATGCATACTTAAGAATTATTACTAAAATTTGACGATAGTTACAATAGTCAACTGACGATAATCCTAAATTTCCCCCAAAAAAATATGATGAAATATTTAAAAAAAACAAAACAAATCATGATTTTTCCATTATAGATATTAGTAATGGATATTACTGTATGGTTTATCTCTATCAGTTCGTCTGTTTTTATAGTGAATGAACATTGCGGGTTATATATGCATATCAGGAGACGTTTACCCAGTCCACAAACTCGGTCTCGCTCCATATGGAGATCATGCGATTCCCTGGGTTTATGGTTGTTACCTTAATATATTCATTTTGTTTTCTTTCAAAAACAAAATATTGGTTATTTACTGTTGCTTAAATCTAAGCAAAATAATGTAGAAAAAAAAAAATCTAATTTAGCTCATGTCGATTTTTTTTTTTTTTTTTTTGTTAAATCGTCTCGATGGAGGCATCCGGGAAAGTGCTTCATTACATTATTTATAACATACTTTGCTTGGTATCTCTGATGAATTTTTACTCGTTGATAATTATTGAAAATATGTTTCAACTCCTCAACGTTTCTACTTATTTATACATCCTTTGCTCTCAATTTCTAGGGTTGAAATAATTTTTATATTCAAAAATAGTCCTACTTTACAACAATTAATTTTACAATTTTTATATTTATTTTACCTTATATGACTTTTCGTTTAATTTTTAAGCACATTTTATTTAACAATATCTTTAACTTGCATTGAATATCTAATGAAACTGCATACAAAGAAAATGTTAACGTTTAAGTTGTTTATCTTTTGATAATTAATCCATGGAAATATTTTTCGGTATCGCTAATCGTTCAAGTAAAATTTATTAAGAATGAAACACTTATATTCATCAAAACTGTTTATTATATCAAGTTTCAAAAGTATGGTTTCGTGCAAATATAATAAATTTGAATAACGGAACAGAAATGTCACTTAACACTTAATTTATCTCCATAAGGTTGTTACATGTGTGTATACTAAAAAAGGTATAATAAAAATACCAAACTCCAAAACAAATTCAAAAACGGGAAGTCCATTAGAACTGACAAAATCAAACGCTTTCAATCAACGGAATAAGTGAAAAACATATACCTTATTCCTGACTTGGTACAGACATTTTACAAAAGCAAAGGAAAATGTGACCGATAAAAACAACAGAAAGATGAAGTTTGTGTATGCTAAAACTCGCAATATGTTTTTTACTCCAGATGCACACCAGTTTGATGTTAGTTTGTGGCAAGAACATGATAGCACGTTCTTTGAAACTGATATCGTAAACGACATTATCAAATATTTAGAAACGGAACATTTTATCGTTGTTATTGGTGCGTCTGGCATGGGCAAATCTGCAATCATACACCACATTGCCTTACAAATTTGCCACGTAGGAGGACGGAGTATAATTCCTTGTCATAGTCCACAGGAAGTCATTAACCATTACAAGAAAAATGAGTTTTCTATTTTCGTCATTGATGATATATGTGGTAAATTTGCAGTAAGCGACGTTGATATTGAAAACTGGATTAATAATAGAAATAAATTAAAGATGATGCTAAGGAAAGGCAAAATTAAAATACTTGCATCGTGTCGCCATGAAATATTTAATGAGGAAAAAGTGCAAAGGTCTTTAAAGCCATTTATTTCTTATAGCTTTGATCTTTCTTCCAAATACAAACCCTCTCAGAAAGCAAAACTAGCCATCGCGGGAAAATATATGAACAGCGAAGATTGTGAGAATCTACAAGACGTTCTTGGGAGTTTTGCTTTTTCTCCCTTGCTGTGCTTTTTATTCTCAAAATACGAAAACATTACCCGTCATGAATTCGTAAATGAGCCTTATAACATTTTCCGATCTGAGTGGGATGAATTAAAGATGGTTGATCCCCATAAGTACTGCTTACTGTTCATGTTTGTAATTTTTAATGGTGCTATCAATGAATCTTTATTCTATGAAGCAAATGAAGATGAAAGGAATAAACTTGAGAATGTATTTAAAAGTTTGAAAATTGAACGCAGCACAGCATTTTCCACCATCAAGGATAAATTAGATTTCTGTGTAGGCACTTACGTCGTCAAAATAGGTAAAATATATAAAATTATACATGACAAAATGTTTGACTTTCTTTGTTACTATTTCGGTAAAAGTAAAGATATGATTTCATTGTTAATAAAGTACGCAAATATTGAAGTTTTAATAGAGCGTACTCAACTACAATCCTCACAAGCATGTCGCAATAGGTATACCGTTGTTATTGGTTGCAAACATAAGGAGGAATATTTTCAAAGATTCCAAAAAGATATCCAGCATGACAGCCTAAAGATCGCTTTAAACAACGTTCAAATGAAGTACCAAAATTACAGGGAACAGTTTCTGAGAATCCTAAAGAGAATAAGCAAGAATTCCATAAAGCAAATTATAAATAAAAGAGATGAAAAGGGTAACAATGCATTCATAACAGTCTGTTCATATGGTTATGATGAAATTGTTCTGTACTTTCTTACCATGGGCGCTGACATAAATGGAAAAGATACCCGTTTGTCACCAATGACAGCTGCATGTGGATCTGGAAATTGTTCTACGGTTGGCTTGTTGATCAAAAAAGGTGCCAACTTGAATAAAGCAGATAAATGCGGGGATACACCTTTATATGTCGCTTGTTTTGAGGGAAATGAAAACGTAGTTAGATTATTAATCAATGAAAGAGCTGAAATAAACAAATCCACAAAACTTGGAGTGACACCTTTATTTGCTGCATGCACTGGTGGGGATGCAAGCATAGTAAAAATACTTGTGGAGCAAGGCGCTGATGTCAATTATAACACTAAGTTTGGAAATACTCCCCTTGTAGCTGCATGTTGTGGTGGATTTGAGTTGATAGTTGAAACACTTGTCAACAATGGGGCATCGGTAAATAAAACATTCGAAAATGAAGAGTCGCCATTATTAGCGGCATGTCAGAGAGGACATGAAAATATTGTTCGGCTATTGATAGAACATGATGCCGCGATTAATTATGCTACAAAATCTGGAAACACGTCTTTGAACGTTGCGTGTTGTGGTGGACATGAGTCTATAGTACAGATACTAATAAACAGGAACGCTTCAATCAATACAACAAACGAACATAACGGATCACCGTTGTACGTGTCTTGTTTGAGGGGATACAAGAATATTGTGCAGTTCCTGTTAGAAAAAGGGGCCAAAGCAAATTATTCTGAAAACAACTATGTACCTTTGCATGCTGCATGTTTCAGAGGAGATTACAAAATAGCAAAGTTACTGATAGAAAAACAGTCCGAAGTAAACATCCCAAAGGCCGATGGTCAGACACCTCTCCATGCTGCAGTTAAGAGTCATAATGAGAAATTAGTCGATTTATTAATATGTAAAGGCGCTGATATTAATAAAACAGACGGTGGTGGCTTTACATCTTTGTACGAGGCATCAATTGCTTGTAATTTTCAAGCTGTGAAAATATTGATAGAAAAAGGAGCAGTTATAAACGTAGCTTCACATTCTGGTGAAACTGCATTGTTTGTAGCTTGTCGTGAGGGACATACTGAAATATCAAAATTTTTAGTAGAAAAGGGGGCTGACTTAAATAAAAGTAATTGTTATTGCAATACTCCTTTGCATATTGCAAGCGCTGGACGATACAAAAAAATAGTTAAGATCTTGGTAGAGAATAGTGCTGATATAAACAAATCAAATAACTACAAAGAAACACCGTTTTATATAGCATGTGAAAAAGGATACTATACAATTGCCAAAATGCTAATGAACAAAGAAATTAATATAGATGAAATAACAGTTTATGGGTGGAACGCTTTGTATGCTGCGGCCTCAGCCGGTTATAATGAAGTAGTTGAACTATTGTTAGAGAACGGAGCAAATGTAAATCAGTGCAATACCTTCGGGTGGACCCCTTTGGTTGCTGCTTGCAGTGAAGGACATATAGACACCGTTATTCTGTTAGTTAACAAGGGAGCTGATATTAATATAGCTAACACAAAGGGAGAGACTCCTATGCACGTTGCCTGCTTAGGTGGGTACAGTTCAATTTTTGAAATTTTATTTAACAAAGAAGCAATTTTAAATAGATGTGATGCGCAAGGAAATTACCCCCTCCACAACGCATGCTACAATGGACATCCTGAAATAGTCGCGCTATTACTAGAAGAGAATGTTGATGTAAACTGTATAAATAATATGAAAAACACACCTCTCCATGTCGCATGTGTCTGTGGACATGATGAAATTGTTCAAAAATTAATGAAAAAACATGCAAGTGTTATAAAGGTTAATAAAGATGCTGAGACGCCTCTTTTTGTGGCATGTAAAGGTGGTTATCACAAAATTGTTCGAATACTCGTTGAAGCCAATTCTTTAGTTGTTAATGTAGTAAATATATCTGGATGGACACCTCTTTGTGCAGCTTGCAAGGCAGGTCATTATGACACAGTGCAAGTATTATTGGAAAAAGGTGCCAATTTAAATAAAGCGAACTGTGATGGACACACACCTTTTGATATAGCAATAATTAGCAAGCACGACAAAATATTTGAATTATTGCAGGATAAGGGAGCAGACATATTTGACTGGCCTGATTAGACACGTCATGCACATATAATCTTATTTTATCTAGTTCTATCTACAGCCGATTCAACTACCTACAAAGAAACCTATTAAAATCCTATTGTCATTTATATATGATTTTGGGACGTCATCATTCAATTAAAAGAACAAATAATTTTATGACATTAACAACACGCTAAAAAAAGTTTTCCGATTGGATTGTATAATACCCACCTTTATCTTGGTCCGTAAGAGTACCCCTGTATAGGTTCCATGCACAAATAAAATATTTATGCGCACTTATTAATATTCATATTAGCTTTGTGGTTTTTGAGAACTGCCGTGAAGATTTTAAAGTACAAGCAAGAAGAAAGAAGAAAGAAGAAGACCTAGAATTTCAATTACAAGCAATTGTAAATGTCATTCTGAACTGGTAGTTTCCATGGTGACAGCAGCCATGAAATTTTCAAACTGTTACTACACACATATGCGTGATAAGTCACATAAGGTTTAATCAGTAGTTAGACAATCATATAAAATCTCATTAAATTCTAATAAACTTATCTCAGGCACACTACTGTTTGGAAACATTATTTTTGGTGCTATCGTATATATCTACGTTTACTGATTTAAGACATTTCAAGCATATTGTACTATATGATACTGACATACAACAACCTGTTTAATTTTGTCATGTGTACATTTTAAAGTAAAAGAACATTGTACAAACTGTAATACTGTAAAATGAGGAGGTTAACGAAGGGCAAAAATGTCCCAAAATCATTTTATTGCTTTTTTAATTAAGCCAAAATACTATAAATTTCACTTACAAATCGTTTTGATATTACAGTTAGTTCAAAATAACTTCTTTTTTGGCACCTCTCATTAAAAATTACGAGGCTATTATACCCCTTAATAATGCATTGTTTGTTTTTGTTTTACCTAGCATTTAGGCTTTTGAAAAAAATCCATTTAAGAATCAAATTGTGTTCTTTTTAATAGTTTATGATAAATTTGAAACTCGAGGTCATATTGTGCCAAAAGTGAACCTTGTACAAAGGCAATTGACCGTGGAACGTTTCTTTGATAACAAGGATTCATACTACTCAGATCAAAGGACTCTTCTTCTTTATAACTCCATACATGTGTACAGCAACGGACTGAATATTGCCCAAGTATGCGTGTAATCTTGGCTATTGGACGTTATAGTCATCAATTTTAATCATAACAGATAGTCACCCTTTCAAAAGTTATTAGACCAGTGACTTAATCGTATAGATTATAAATCTTTTTTATTCGATCTTATTTTCGTATGGACCTTGTATCCGATCTGTTAACTTTACCTTAACGAGAAAGTTTCTTTATCAGTTACCCAGTATCCTCTTTATGTATGAGATATAGAAATAAAATATATTTTTCTTACCTTCTACGTTTTTAGTTTATTTTGTTGTATAATCCTCATGTTTAAATTCATTTTATAAATTGTTTTTGGTCACTGTATTGTTTTTTTGTCTTAATTTCTTTTTGGTCACTGTATTGTTTGGCTTTTTGTCTAAATTTCTTTTGGTCGTATTATTTTTCTGTCTTTAATTTCATGTGCTGTTGTTTCTTGGTAGCTTCTTATTTTTTTAGAGCAGTCTTATTTAAAAAGGGCTTTGACAACTCATGTTACATTTTATCATATTTTGTTTATTGTCAGAATAAGGTTCCTCCGGTAATGAAGGGACTTTAAATGTACACAATTTTTGTGATTTGCATTGTATATAACTCAACCATACTTATTACGATCATTACTTAGTGACAGTTATTAAATTTCTAAACTTCGATTTTCGAATTTGAAGTTACCTATTGAGACTGGCAGATTGGCAGGGATTCCGCGATATAATATGTACTTTATGTTATGAGGGAATAAGGGATGAGTTTTGTGTATTGTTTACCTGTAAAAATGCTGACATTTCTGCTCTAAGATCAAAGCTTATACCCCATTATAATGTAATTATAGACAACCTTACGGCCTTCAACAATGAGAAAACCCATACCGTATAGCATATACTAGTATATTCTAAACTGTCATCACAAGATCTTTATAGTGCCCCATATGTTTTGTCCCTGTCGGTGATAGGTTCAGGTCTCTCATATCATAACGTATTTGATATATCTAAAATACACCTAAGATCCGGAACCAAAAAACCGTGAAATTTGCCATGGTAGTACCCGTCCACTATTATAAACTAGAGGCTCTTAAGAGCCTGTGTCGCTTACTTGCATCTTAAAAATCATCATGCAATTGCACATATGAACTGTAATAGTACTACAATCTGTCGATACCTTTGTTTTGGCATTGCACAAGGTCATGTTTTTCTCTGACTGTTAATGACGTCTTTACACTAGATCCATTGGATGTTGGGTGTTTACTGATTGATAGTTCAGTCTTAGATACATGATTTTTTTTATTAGTTGTTATTGGCTTCGAACTAGCTGTCAGCAGCTGCGAGTACATTCAGATCTGTACCTAGTGTCATTTTTGTTGTTAGGAATGAGGGATGGATAAATACCCTGCCACGTCCAGTCTGTGTTTATGTTTGATGTTTTTCTGGTTTGTATCGATCTGATGAGTTAAGCCTTTTTCAACGGATTTTTATAGTTTGTTCTTATGTTGTGCTGTTACACCACTGTCCAAGGTTAGGGGAGGGTTGAGCTCTCAAAAACATGTTTAACCTCGCCTAATTCTGTATGTGCCTGTCCCAAGTCAGGAGACTGTAGTTCAGTGTTTGTCGTTGGTTCATGTCTGTCATATTTCTTTTTCGTTTATTGTTTTGTTATAAATTAGGCCGCTAGTTTTCTAAATTGAATTGTTTCATATTTTTCATGTCGGGACCTTTTATAGCCGACCATACGGTATGGGTTTTTCTCATTGTTGAAGGCCGTACGGTTGCCTATAATTGCTTACATCCACTTTATTTGAACTGAGGCGGATAGTTGTATCATTGGCAATCATACCTCATATCCTTATTTTTATAATAACTCTATAAAGAGTTAACTGACCATTTCAGTCATGTTGACATATTTGTAGATCTTGTCCTGCTAATCTATTTGCTTTTATAGTTTCTATCTACATTTGTATCTATTACACTTTTCAAGATAATAGGCAAAAACTCCAATAATGGTAAACATCTTTAAAGTGAAATAACTCCAATAACAAGTCGCCTAAAGATTTCCGCCATGATGTAAAAATAAGGAACTGAGGTATGATTTCCAATAAGACAACTATCCACCAAAGTTCAAATAAAGTGGATGTAAGCATTTATAGGCAACCGTACGGCCTTCAACAATGAGATAAACCCATACCGTATAGTCGGCTATAAAGGCCCCGACATGAAAAATAAGAAACAATTCAATTGAGAAAACGGCTTATTTGTAGATCTTTTCTTGCTGATCATTTTTACTGAAAAAAAAATTTCTGACTATTATGGTTTTTAAAAAATTTGAAAAAAAATGTTTCTAAATAATAGACAAAAATGAATAAAAATGATAAAATTTGACATTTAAGGGCAAAAACACCTATAAAAAGTCGTCTGACAGTTTTCACGTAAATGTAGATCTCAACATTCCAAACATTTCTGTCCCTGTCAGGTCTATTCATAGCGGGTTTCAAGATAAAAGACATAAGTTGCAATTTACCCCTATTTTCTATTTTTAGCCATGTCGGCAATCATGGATGACAGGCGGTGTCATCGGACACATTTTTTAGATTTCTAGATATCCTAATAATGATTGTGGCCAAATTTGGTTAATTTTCCGCCAGCAGTTTCAGAGGAGAAGATTTATGTAAATGTTAACGGACGACGATGGACGACGGACGGCAAGTGATGAGAAAAGCTCACTTGACCATTCGGCCAGGTGAACTAAAAAAAGAGTTTTGGGCCTCTCATATGCCTGTGTAACTTCTATAGATAAAAGGGAGGCATACGTGTAAGTCCATTATAAAAAGTTTCTCATAGTTTATTTACTTCTTCGTTTTTTTTTTATATTTACTTTTGATCGTCTAAAATGCTCGGAAATGCAACAAATTTCTCCGAAACATAATTTTTAGATATTTATGAGGGATATTTGAAACATCATTTTTAGATATTTATGAGGGATATTTATTTTCTTACATCTGATTTAGGTTACTCATCAATTCATATCGTTGAAAAGAGTAAAATATAAAATATCAAGAAGTTATCCTATTGAATTCTGTATCAGTTACTCAGTAATCTCCCTTATTAATGCGTCATAGTAATTAAATATATTTTTTTCTACGTTCTACGTTTTATTATATTTTGTTGTATAATTTTAATGTTTAATATAAAAATAAGAAGATGTGGTATGATTGCCAATGAGTCAACTCTCCACGTGAGACCAAATGACATAGAAGTTAAAAACTATAGGTCACTGTACGGCCTTCTACAATTAGCAAAACCCATACTGCATAGTCAGCTATAAAAGGCCCCGAAATTACAAATATAAAACAATTCAAACGAGAAAACTTACCATCTGATTTATGTACAAAACAATGAACGAAAACCAAATAATATATACAGCAACAATTGACAACAGGTTCCTGACTTGGGACAGGAACATACAGAATGTGGCGGGGTTAAACATGTTTGCGGCCGACCAACCCTCCCCTAACCTGGGACTGTGGTGGAACATCACAACATATGAACAAACTATAAAAATTATTTGAAAAGGGCTTAATTCATCCAATCGATACAAAGCAGAAAAACAAGTAACAAAAAAAAACACAAACCGGACGTGGCAAGGTATTTTCATATCCCAACAACAAAAACAAGTACAGATCTGAGAATACTCGCAGTTACTGGCAGCTAATTCAAAGCCAATCACAACTAATTAAAAAATCATGTGTCTAAGACTAAAAGAATTAAACAATTTTATTTCCTTATGATAGACAAAAAAGAAGATTATTTGAAAGTTTTTGTTTTAATATATCACCTTATCTTAATTCAGTCTGTCTATTTTGTCTACACCAAATTAAATTTTGAAGTATTGAATTTTGCTCAACATGAGCGAAGTACCTTGATACTTATATGTTTCGATGACTTTGAAACAAAAATTGAAAACGCTGAGTCGGTTCGTTTCTGGCATCCGGAAAGGAAATTTGACTCATCGTCTGACGATTCCATAAAATCCATGTCAACACAAGTTGCCACACAAATAGTTTTGCAATCGGCCATATTGTATAAGTCGGTTCGTTTTTTTCTACAGTTGATCCGATGTAGATCGACCACGTG